AAACGATGTCATAATAAGGTGTTGTCGATGACTCTCAGAAGTCATATCAGGAGGCGTTCGACATAAGCAAAAGCAAACTACAGCCCACACACCCGATCCGATTGGGTCTGGCGCTCAACTTCTCTGTCTTTTACTATGAGATCCTTAACGCCGCCGATCGCGCCTGTCATTTGGCGAAGCAGGTAATGGACTACCGGTCACTCCATGCCTGCCTGGCCTCCCACTGCCCGGCCCTCTACTAACGGCTCAATTTAATAGCTTATGTAATGCCATGTATTGACTGATTTGATTGACTGGCAATACCTTATTATGAGAACGTTTTGTACACTCGTATTGACTGTCGTTTGAAGCGATGATAACTAATGAATGCATTGATTGTTGTGTTGTTCAGGCGTTTGACGACGCGATCGCCGAATTGGACACTCTTAACGAAGATTCCTATAAAGATAGTACGCTCATCATGCAGCTGCTCAGAGACAACCTCACGGTATGACATACCCGTCCCCATACCTGTCCCCCACTAACCCATTATCTCTGTCTGTCCGCAGCTCTGGACGTCTGACACACAGGGAGACGGAGACGAACAACAAGAGGGCGGAGATAATTGATAAGTCGTGTGAATCCGTTCTCTGCATTCCCATCAAATCAATAATAATTATTATTAATAAAACAAATCTTCGCATCTCTTCTCAACTCCCGTTTCTGAAACAGTCAACACAGTCGCCAACACTCGCACCACAGACACCACTACTGGCGCTCCACCGCACCGCGAATACCTATCCATACAGTCCGCGCCACTTATAACACACGCATTCATTGCCAACATTTATTGTCTCCATATTTACAGTACTTTTCAATGAGGAGTTTACGTATAAGTTGAGCACAATTTGTGCAATTTATGAAACATTTGACACGAAAAACAAATTAGTGTCACATTAGGTGACAACTTATACCGTGAATCCACTGCACTCTGTGTATGATTCACGTTGAATACAGCATTGAATACTATGTCATCATAGGTTCGATCGTTTCACAGTCTGCACAATATTGCCGACATACACCGCAAAGTATATAAAGTTTTATTTTGGAAAATTACATTTCGCACGAATAGAGAGCTATATAAATAGGATTCGGAGGCTAACTAAATACAAAGACCACTCGTGGGGTGCTTGTGGTGGGGGTGGGGTGTGCGGGAGGTGCGAGGGGCTTAGGGCTGGATGGGGTGTTTCGATGGAGTTTTTGTGGGGAATACTCCACGGATTAGTCATAGCTATATAGCTGTATAGCTCGAGCTTCATGTATCGGCCAATGGGAGTGTGTAATGGCTGTTATGCCTGTCGTATAGGTTTAGTGCTTATGGTGAGTGAATGCATGACTAGTGGCACAGCGTTTAGGCATTCAATCGCTTCAATACAACACATTCTCCTGTATTATAGTCTCCACACAACCGGCGAATCACTCGACACTCAACCCATTATTTGGTCACCACTTGTGTTGACTCCACTGCAGCCAACTGTCATTACCGGTGAGTGGTATGTGTGTGCTGTGGATGCGTTTGTGGTGATGTCCAACGAGTAGAGTGTGGTGTGAGTGCTGTTCACGCCTTGCCTTACAATACACTCCATTCTCGGCTCCATTTGGCGGCCATTTTGTGTGCATTTCTCTATGAGTCGAACACTCTTTGGCCACAAACTCATCCATTAAGACATCTATTGAGTGATCCATTCATTGCTGACCACACTCTCGGTGACCCCCTTAACCCGTTTCGCCCCCAATAACCCCCTTTTGTGTGAAATAACTCGTGTGTAGCCCTCCGTAGGTCTCGCTGTGTGTGTCTATCACTCTCTCACTCCTCATGTCTTGTTTTGTGTGCCATTTGATGACCAATTGATTGATTTTACGATTTGTTTGCTTTTCGCGCAGATCCAGTCATCTTAATCACGCTTCGAGACCACCGTTGAGATCGTATTGATTTGCGTGCATCTCATCCATCGTTGATATCACACACACTTCGGTCGCGACTGCTGTCCGTCGAGTGCTAAGCAATACACACATTAAGTCTGAAGACGTGTTTTTCGACATAAATCGGTTGAAATCTCTTGAAACTCCATAAAATGGATAATAAGGACGAATTGGTTCAGAGGGCAAAGCTGGCCGAACAGGCGGAACGGTATGACGATATGGCCGCCGCCATGAAACAGGTGACGGAGACGGGCGTCGAGCTGTCCAACGAGGAGCGCAACCTGTTGTCCGTGGCCTACAAGAACGTTGTGGGCGCCCGACGCTCCTCCTGGCGGGTCATCTCATCCATCGAACAGAAGACCGAGGGCTCCGAACGCAAGCAACAGATGGCCAGAGAGTACAGAGAGAAAGTCGAGAAGGAGTTGCGGGAGATCTGCTACGATGTGCTCGTATGTTGCCTACCAAACACCCGTTCCCCTCTCAGAAGACCGAGGGCTCCGAACGCAAGCAACAGATGGCCAGAGAGTACAGAGAGAAAGTCGAGAAGGAGTTGCGGGAGATCTGCTACGATGTGCTCGTATGTTGCCTACCAAACACCCGTTCCCCTCTCGCCATACATGCCGTCCTCTTTCTATCATATCTCTGTATTTGCTTTGCCTATCGATTAGTGTGAATATATGTTTGAGTTTTGAGTTGTGATTAATTAGCGATCGTTTTGTTAGTAATTAATGATTTGAGAGAACAGTTGTGTCCGTCTGTAGTGGTCTGACAGTGTGTGCCAAAGACATGACTACTGTATTGTATGAGTGGATACGCTGTGTCTTTGATGTCAATGCGCTAACCATTACATCAGAGATGCTCCACACTTGACATAATGCATGAGTGGGTGTGGCCTCAAGTCATGTGAGATTGTTCTCTCAGTCTCTCAAATCCCAGTCCCCTCTGTCTCTCGATTTAACATTTATTTTGTTTTTAATATATCTCTTCGTTTTCACTCTTTTTGTCACCCATTCCTCTCTCCGTCCCTTCATTTATGGCATTAGTTATGAAGTAGTGTTCAATTCGAGCGCATTATTGCTGTCTTTTTAAGGAAATAACTGCTATTTTCCAACATTTGTCGTAATTTTTATTGATTTTCCAGTCTATATGACTCACATTTGGCTGTATGTCTAATACCTGTNGGACTTCTCGACAAGTTTTTGATCCCAAAGGCCAGTAATGCCGAAAGTAAAGTGTTTTACCTTAAAATGAAAGGCGATTATTACCGATATCTGGCCGAAGTGGCCACTGGTGACCAAAGGAACAGTAAGTCACGACTCATTCATTTTTACGAAATTTGAGCTGTTATTTGGAAAATAGGAAAAACTTTTTTCTATTTTTATCATAACATATATAATCAGAGATGTTATAAATGTGTCACTTCTCGTGTGAAGAGCACACTCAACGGTTGTTATATTCAATGCATTTTATGGTTCATTTGTTTCTATAATTAACGATATTTAGTGCAGTAATGCTTGTGATTACAAGTTTATGGGGTTTGTGTGTTGTATATACAGTGTTAGGCCTTTCAGGCGACACTTTTTAGTCTAGATTTTTGCTTATAATGCAAATCAAGTTTACGGTTAGTAATTATCAGTGAATGCATTGATTGTGAAAGTTTAGTCGAGTCACAGATATGTTATCATTTTGGGGGGATTTATGGTCGCAATGACCGGAAATGAAGTGAACGTATGTAACAGTGTTTGGTGTCGACCCGTCCTTAAGGTGTTGTGGATGAGTCGCAAAAGGCCTATCAGGAGGCGTTCGACATAAGCAAAAGCAAGATGCAGCCGACGCACCCGATCCGGTTGGGTCTGGCGCTCAACTTCTCTGTCTTTTACTATGAGA